CCAGCCAGCCATGCTGGCTGGGGAATTCTGGGAGTTGAAGTCCACACATCTTCAAGTTGTCCAGGTTGAGAAATGCTGCCCAAGAGTATGCAGTTATGAAAAGGGGGAAACAACTGAAAAATAGCTAAAGAAAATAACCTTTGCTACAGAGATGAAATACAGCAAGACCACAACAAAAGTAGACTTTGTAAGATGGGATGTGGACCCACAACACCACTTCCTCTTTCTGTCTGTCTAAGATCAGATCTTTAGCAGTGGCTCTCGATATCTCTGCATAAGCCAGGTAAAAACTCTTTCACTAGATCAATCTCAGGGACATTTGCTGGGAGGGTTTAAAAAGTCAAGATGGCGACGGCAACTGCATGGTCCAAACATCTGGAAATGGGCCCTTTTTCGACCCCCGTTTTAATCCTATCTATTTCATCTCCAGAATATACTCTGAAAAAACTAAAAACTAAACCGTTTAACTACTTCCTGCGCTAAAACAGCATTCCAGAAAAAACGATTTGATTTTTACCTGCACAGCAATGTAAAGGCCCGGTATGTTAAAAGATTCGAACATGACCTCTGCAAGATACTCTCTGTTTTCAGGAGTGTTCAGTGGCGGTTCAGTCTATTTTTGAAAAATAGAGTTAAATTAAAAAGATTCCAATCACATATTGTATCAAGGTTGATCCCATTTATGTTTCTTGAGATTCCCTCTCATCACAGCTAAATTTTTGACAGCGGCTATCAAACCTTGGACGCAGCTAGTGAATTGGTGGCTGAATTATTTTGAATATATTGGCAATAGTTAAACCGGTGTTGAATATTTACTATGTTTTTGTTTTCTCTATAGCTTAATACCTTCTGCCATGTTTATTCGCTTGCATTGGCTCTCTTGACTCTAATAAACTTGTTATGTATTGAGATTCTTAGAATATTCTTTTTTAAATGGGACACTGTGTGCGCGTCCCTTGGGTAAAACCAGGATTGCGAATCTATGTGTCAAACGAATCCTGGTCCAACTTGCAATCTTTTCCAATTTGGACATTATTATTTTCCAGGTCATTTTTTTTCCTTTAAGCGTGTGCTTGTGCTTATATTACTAACATCAGAATGTGCATCTGTTGTCACAAACCAGGATATAAAGCTTCTCCACCAATCTTCAGACTACCCTCCTCCGGATCTCTGTTTCCAATCGCTGATAGTGGAGAAATAGAATAGCTGGAATAGCACTACTGTGTCCTGGGTAAAATCCTTCCCTGCCCACCTTACAAACATCCTAAGGATCACTGCTTTTCCATTGCTCTGAGAAACCACAATCTGAAACAGATTCACTTGGAGGGGGTTAGAAAAAATCCTCTCTTTCCTAATTTCCAACGGCTCCTGCTGGAAGAGCAGGGGGCAGCCCTGGCCGGAGCGGCCTTGGCACAAATTCATCTTGTGCACCAATTGCACCCATTCCTGGCCCAGAAAGACTTGCTCACGGTTATCCATGCCTTAGTCACCTCCTGTTTGGATTACTGCTATGCGCTCTACATGGGGCTGCCCTTGGAGACCACTGGAAGCTGCAACTGGTCTAGAACGCAGCAGCACACACAGCTTTGGATGCCCTGCAGCTCACCTGAGTAACACCACTGCTCTGTGAGCTGCACTGGCTCCCAGTTGCTTTCCAGGTGCAATTCAAGGGGCTGGTTATCACCTTTAAAGCCCTCCATGGGCTTCTTTTTTCCCCAGAAACCATACTCTAAGTATCTTAGCCTTGCTGTGTGATCTGTTGTCTGTCAGGGAGCCATTCCTGTTTGAACTTCGTTTGACTTCTGTTGTGAATATACACAGTCAATTTTTCCATTGCAGGGTAGTCTCCCAGTTTAGTCTCCCAATCTTTTACTAACGACAAGATTTCCCTTTTCGAGTGTGGTGCTAGATTGAATCTTGCCACTGACAGTATGTATCTTAATAAATGGTGATGCTTTTCATTTATATTCTCTGGGATCATACCTAGTAAAAATATTTGTGGTTTTAATCAGAATTTTATTTTCAGAATGCTCTGGAGTCCTGCAAGACTGTTCTTAAGAAATAAAGACCGGTTCCTTTATGTATAGTTTACACATAGTCTGCAACCACTTAATCTGGTCAAAAAGAGGATGAATTAGGGCAATGGAGTGCAGCCCTTCATAAATTTGATGGCAGAGCTCATTTTTGTCCTTAACGAGAAGGACTAGAAATATCTTAAAGAAATAAATTGGACTCAAAAGAGAACAAAAGATGCTTTGTACACCCACATTGTGCATACTGTGCTTAGAAATTTAGGATTGGTTGGGTCAGTGGTAAATCTGTACATGTCCTCCGAAAACTGAGATTAGGAAGAAAATTGCACATGACATGCCATATGCTTGCTGGTCTTACCATTAAAAAATAGTGATCTTCTGGTTCAGCTCGAAGATACTTAAAAATAACGTGTTCCATGAACCTTTCCATAAGATCCCAGTCTTCCACAATGCCATGCCGGATCGGCCACTGAAGCAAAGGAGAAGGGAACCATAGCACCATTCCATGAATGAACAGCTCGTCTTTACATGGTAGAAACAAAGGTCTGGTCTGTCACCCCCACCCAACCAGCACCTTGCACAACATTATAATTTGGCTAGACTTGCGTCTCTGACTTCGACATGAAGGACACATGACATACTATGGCACTGAAAAGGAGAAGTTCCTTCACATGCCTAGTGCTATGTAGACATCATGCCTAGCGCTACGTAGACATCGAGAGTTCAATGGAGTTTTGGAAAAGAGGCCTCTGCTTGGACATACGAATCCCCGTCAAAGCTGAGCAGGGTTTAAGAACGCAGGTCCCGTGCCTCAGACTGTAAGAGGGACCAGCATTAGAACTCATCTTCCTTCCAACCTCTGCCTTGGAACTGAATGAGCAAAGAACATGATTAGGTTGGGGCAACGCGTAATCCTTCTTACTCTGCTAGACCCAACCCTTAGGAAAAATGTTCTCTGGATCTCTTCCATAGCACAGCTCAAGGAGCCCAAGGACACGGTTCAGTTTCTGTGCACCACTCTCCTTTGTCTCTTACTAGCTCCTTCCTCCCAATAAATGTGCAACAAGCAATAACCCAAGCCCCCACTCTTCCCCAAATCTGCCCCTACTCCTACAAATGTATCTTGGTTCCCTCAAAGATCTGTTCTGTGGGTCTTCCTTCCATTAAAGGTAGAATGCATCTGTATTGCAGGCTCTAGAGATAGCAAGAAGCAGGAAGATGCAATAGCAAAGTAGAAGGCCCCACATTAGCCCTTGGAAGAGTAGAAGGAAGGAAAACTAAAGGCCAGGGAACAGAGATGCAATAATTCACGTTTCCTTAATTTGAAGTGAGGTTCAAACAGCCCTTCCCAACTCTAGGGCTTTCAAGATTGGTTGGGACTACAACTCCCAGAAGACCAGGCTGAATGAGAATCCTGGGATTTGTCTAGTTAGATTTAAAGCAGGGGGTTTTAACCTGGGATTTCTGAGGGTCCATGAATTCAGACAGGAAAAAAATTACAACTTTATTTTCACTACTCTCTAACGTTCCGTTCCATAATGAACCTAGACAACAAAGTAATTGATGGCCTCTGTACTCCAAAACAGTTTGTTAACATCAATAAATATCACTATCTAAAATTATCTGAATTTTCATTTAGTATTTGGATAACTGTATTTGAGAATCATTGCTTTCCGTTCTAATGTAATCTATATCTACGTAATTTATTGTATGCCTTGAAATACATTCTTCTGCAAAACGATACACAGGTTTCAGCAGTCTCAAAGGGGTCTGTGGCAGAAAAAGATTAAGGACTGCTGACCTAGAAGGTTGTGCAGAAGGCTTTAGGGGTAAAAGGAGCATCTGCAGAAGAGGGCCAAAAAATCCAAGATGGCAGGCACGTCCATGGGGTTTGAAGTCCCTGCATGCGTGTAAAAATGTCAGCCTTACTAGGTAGACCAGACAGGAAGCATGATCAGATGAGTTAATTCTACTTTATCGTAAGGTTACACTAACAGAATCTTGCAAGGCTGAAAGTACAATTCTCCCGTCTCCTTTACAGCCTGAGAAATTAGGGAGGATCCTTTCTGAGCCTCTTGCCCCTTCCACTGTCCAGCTGAGGCTATGCCCTCTCTTAACTGACCATTCCCTTGGCAGTGTCTCTTCGCCCATTCTCCCAAGACCTTTCCCACATACCATTACAAAAAAAGAGGAGGGCTTCAATCACATGGGCACGTCCACCATCTTGATTTTTCTGACCCCCTTCTGTGAATGCCCTGTACTGCCTGCTGATCCGTTCCTTTGAAAGCTCCCCTTATTCCTCCAGCTTTACCTTTGTAGCGTAGGTGGGTTTAACTAGAGCTTCATCTCCGATAAAAAAGTCTAGATCATCCACGCCTTGGGCCAGTCTCCTCTGTGCTTGGTCACCTACTTTGGCTGATTCTCTTATTGCAATGCCTAAGCAAAAGAGTTGTAAAGCGAATAAATAAACCCGTTGATACACCCACTTTGGGGAAGTTAAATCTTTCCCGTTAGAGAGGTGTTTGCTCTACAGCCAGATGGCATCTTCAACTCGGGATTCAGACTGCCCAGAGGACACCCAAGAGATCTTTCAAGCTGTATCCATGGTGTCAGGTAAAAAAGAAGTCCCTTGTTTGTTAAGGCAGATCTCTGGCAACCACATAATAGAGATAGGAAGGAAAGAGGACTTGTCATAGCAACCAGAAAGTGGTTTAATGAGGGCCAGTCTTGGCAAGGAGAGCTTTGTCTCTCCAGCTACATACTAGCCAAGGACACTAATGTAGTAAATAGTATTTCCCAGAAAAAGAGACCCACACATCCCCCCCCCAAAGAAAACCCACTAGACAGTTGAGAAGCCAACTGCTTGACTCTTTTCATTGATGAGCACATATTTTGAAAACAGAGCAACCACTACTTACATGATGGGATAATGAATTGTGGCTCAGTATTTCCGGCGTAACCCAGTTTTGTGTACCTAAAACAAGAAGTGAATGGATCTTCAAAGACTCAACATGAAACAATAAAGCCATGTTTACTCAAATTGGCTTGAACACAAAGTAAATGAATGCATCATGTTGGGCCAGCTTTTTCTGTATCAAATAAAGGCATATTGTTATCCAGAATTCCATCCCGGCAAATACGTAATATTTCATAAAGCCCAAATACTCCTCTTCATCCAAACTGCTTAGTTTCTACACCTGCCTTGGAGAAAGGAAACATAAGCAGTAGAAGACACAAGAACAAATACAACTGTATACAAGAATCCATCTTCAAAATTAGTGTGTAACAGTGATGGCCATAAAGAAATCTTATTTCACCATCCCCACTGCTGAAACCTTTTAAGTTTGCTTCCACCAGCTTGCAAGGTATTTTGGTGATAATAAATGGAATGCCATCTTTCCGAAGTGTCTGGGAGGATGGTACTAGAATACCGATCAACGTCTTCTGGGAGGGAGGGATTTCAGTTCAATTCAGTGGTAGGCAACCAGTGGTCCCTGCTCCCCATAGAAATTTGAAGGCAACGTTTCCTTTATTCCCGGCCATCAGTAATTCTACTTGAGAGTGACGGTTACTGTAGTTCAAAACATGCTGGAACATTTTAATATACTCAGAGAGTAACCTGTTCACTACATCTACTTCAACTACTGCTTGATGACAAGCATGAGGTCAAAAGAGGCAACCCTTATTCTACGTGTTGTACTGATTACCTGAGTGTTTCTAGGCCTAGCTTTAATGCCTAGTATTCAGCTTTCAACACGACATACTTATATTATTGATCGCCCCATTCTCTAAGGCCAGGGCTAAAGACCATAGCTGCATGCCCAACTTTTCCATTGATCAGGTTTGCAGAGCTTTCTCATGAGTCAGTGAACCCCATAATGACAGGCCCAAGGAATCCTAAGAATTATTAGATTAATGTGATATTTCATTCTGCTTAGTGCTTTATTATTTCACTCTTCTTACTGGATTGAATATAATTTATGATTCATATTATTGCTAATTGCTATATACTGATTTTAACATTGCAGATTAATGTTTTACTTATGCTTTGGCTTCACTGAAATCTATGGAAGTAGTTAGTCCTGAGTAACTTAAGAATCACAGAGCCAACAGGATGTGTCATCTGCCTTGCTTTTGAGAACTGACATGCCTGGAGGGTCATTGAGAAGATCACATGGAAGAGCCCTCCATATTTCCATCTATGCCCAGTTCAAGGTTGTATCATGTCTAATAATGTCCAAGGATGATTGCTCAGTAGCTTTATTTATCTCTCAGCCACACAGAACCTTGAGGTGGCCATTGGCCTTTGAGAATTACAATCATGAATCATACTTCTGGAAGGTCAGGTTCTATCATTCTTTGTAATAGCTCTATCTTGCCAGCCTTGCATTGAGACAATATCTTATCCTAGCCCAGATAACCAAATACACAGGGAGCTATTCTCTAGAGATGATTCCATAATTTCACCAAGGCTTATTTGGGATATTTTGGGCTCTCCTAATTACATTTGACTGGACTTATCTATCTACCTTGGTCATCATTCTACAAGCCTAGAGTGCAAATCATGTTCTTCAAGGTTCAGCAGAAAAGATGCACATTAGATCATCATGACTAGATCTATCAAACATCTTTTGTCTCATATGCTCCAATTCCTAGCAACCGACATAAAACAATGTATGAGTAACTTATTCTAGATCCAACCCTTTATTTTATGGCTTTAACTGGACTAGTTATACAGTGGTACCTCTAGTTACAAACTTAATCCGTTCTGTTACTCTGGTTGCAACTCGAGTTGGTCGCAACTCGAGTTAAATTTTCCCATAAGGTTCAATGT